AATAAACTCTGTAAACAGGAAATGGTACCCTGTCAGAACGAGCTACAGTGAGCTTACGTAAGTAAAATAATAATGTCTATTGTATTAAATATTAACAGGATCTAAATAACTGATATGATTGGAAATACCTCACACTAGAAAGCAGTTTATTTTAATTTTACTATTTACTGCTAAAGTTTTGTTGACTAAAATACCTATTGAAATATCGTAGATACGTACTAATTGCTTTAAATAATTTATTACAAACTACATATCCTATAAAGTCTCCAGAATTGATAGTTGTCTGAGAGTTTGTTAATTTTGTGAACAATTTTTTATTTTATTCAATACAGAAAATNAACAATATTTAAATAAATAAACGAGAAAAAGACTTACCCATAAAACTTGTTTCGCTCACTTTTAATGTGGACGAGATAATGTCCAGAATATTGGAGTATGTGAATCATGTGTCCACAGTGAGAAAGTATTGTGATACTTAGGGAGAGTCTTTTTTCGGTTAATTTATTGATTCCTTTAAGACACTCTCTATTTTCTAGTTCTATCAAAATCTACGATTTTCATCTATCTTTATGAAGGAAATTTGAAATTTCGACAGTAAAATAATTTATTATATAAGAACAAAGGCTTTCACGGCCGGAATTCATAGTAGAATGAAGATTCGGGCTATAGGGCCGTGGTCTAAATGAACCATTCTGTCCAGATGTTTCGTCGCCTACTGCGGCTGACACCCTCAGCTGCGTTGAAACGTGAAGGTAGATTATATCTCGAAGTCTCCACAGCGACGTTTTCAACGCAGCACTACCACTGAGGATGTCAGCCGCAGTAGCTGACGAAACGTCTGGACAGAATAGTTCACTTAGACCACGGCCCTATATAAATTTATCGTATCTGTGGAAAGCGCTTTTTACTATTTTAAGCAACCCTAGTAATGGCTTTACTATACTGTACAGGTAAATACTGAAGTGAAGAACTAAGCGCGTGGTTGATGCATTTATACTAGTGCAGAAAGGTTTCCATGAGAACATTACATTAGTAGCAAATTTTCAAGCTTAGCACCCCCCACCCGTCCCCGCACAGGAAACAGATCGTGGTGGGTCGAGGTCTGAGGTACATTCGGGAGCTACTGTACCTACTTACAATTATTTACCTAGTATTGAAGACGAGCCACCACTGAAATAATGAAAGTGAAAAATTAATCGATTTGTACGATCCGCAATATAAGCCGGTGCTTCTCTTTTCGTCGAGTACGTTCTGTCGGTGATTCCCTAAACTCGTTTACGGGAGTCACCTTTTTATCTGTGTACTTCAGTCAGATTCAGTAATAAACATAAACGTGTTGTTATTATACTTCATTTACTTTCTCTAGCGATGTGCCCCTTCCAATGTCTAGGATGCGCGCTAGCAAAATCGTAGGTAGGGAGAAAAAAGCTCATTATACTCTCGACTCCTGTTCATTAAACATATCATAAATAGTAGTGCGAATCGAAAACAATCGTTAAAGCCTTTAATATGTCTTCTCGTTGATATTTTCAGTAGTAATTGGTACAAATAACAGCACATTTGAGCAATGCAATTGTAGTGGATAAAATGGTCAATTTTTCCGTGCAGTACTGTACGGATTATACGCTCCTCACCGGTTAAGAGTTTGGCCGAGAGTTGTCTCCTTCCTTTTCTG